TATGAATAAGTCATTGATTATGCAAAATTCAATCATTCTCTCTCCAGCTCCATTTCTGTCAGCAAGTCCATGTTTTCCAACCACTGAATCTTCTTCTCTGTTCCCAACTTTTGCATTCCAGTCACCCATTATTATCAATGAATCTTAATTGCATGTTTGATCGATCTCCAATTGTAATCACTTGTTGTGCATCAGAGAGTTGGACAATGACCAAGGAGGATAGAAGGAGAATTGATGCCTTTGAGCTATGGTGCTGGAGAAGAGTTTTGAGAGTACCATGGACTGCTAGGAAAACAAACAGATTCATCCTGGAAAGGGTTAAACCGGGTGGCTCCTTGGAGGCAAGGATTCTGAGGCTCCATATAACATACTTTGGACATGTAAGGAGAGACCGGTCCTTGGAGAAGGACATCATGCTTGGTAGGGTGAAGGGACAACGCAGGAGGGGAAGGCCCTCTATGAGGTAGATTGATTCAGTGACTGGGGTAATTGGGATGGGTATGTCAGAGACAGTGTGATTGGCACAGGACAGAGCAGAGTTTAGGGCTGTTGTACATAGGGCTCTATGAGTCGCAAGAGACTCAATGGCACATAACAACAACAACAACAATTGCCAGTGATTTGGAGTATTTCTTTATGTGTCTGTTTGCCATTCCAGTATCTTCCTCTGTGAAAATTCTTTCCATGTCTTTTACCCACTATTGGATCATCAGTCTTTTTCTTATGGAGGCCCAGGAGTATTCTGTAAACTTTTGTTATAAGACTCTTGTCTGAGATTGTGTTACCAAATGTTTGTTCCCAGTCTTTAGGTTTTCTTTTCACCCTCTTGGAAAAAGTTTTTGATGGACACGTGGATTTAATTTTAAAAAGGTCTCATGTATCAATAGTATCCTCTTTAGATTGTGCATTTCTGGTTGTATTTGGTAGTCTCTTTATACCTTGGACTAGTGCTTCTAAGCTTCATCCCAGTTTGTCTCTTATGAACATTATGGTTTTGGGCTTTACTCCCAGTCTCTGATCCTCCTTGAGTTGATTTTTGTGTGTGGTGTGAGTTGTGGCTCCTGTTTCAGCTTTCTGCAGGTAGAAGTCCAGTTTTGTCAGCTCAATCCATATCTTAATCAACTAGCTGACTTCTGCTTCAAGTGATTCCAGGTGGGGCCCTCCTCCTTAATTACCTCATAATTGGAATGAATAGAACAGAATTGGTTTTGCCACCTTATTACTGGAGAACAAAGGGATCTTTCATTGGTCCACCCAGCTCTTGTAATGCTGCTTTGGAACCTGTCTCAACTCCATCAATTGCCACTATATTCCTCCCATTCCTGAATAACACACAAAAAATCTCCATCCTGCTGGGGTATATCTTTTCACCCATAGTCTTCTACAATAAACTTGGGCAGAAGGCTCCTAGCTCCAGTTCTGGGTGTAGCAGTCCCAAGGTGCAATCTCATGTCCGCTCTCTGGTTCTCCACTGTAGCTGCTATGGCTGCTGCTCCTATAGGTACCAGTTTGGCTCTGAAGGACACACTATATTCTTTTGCTTCTTTGCTAGTATGGAAGATCCTCCTATTTTGCTGCTAGATGTGCTCAATTTAATGACAAGACTAGCCAATCCCCTATCCCCCTGTGAATAGACTAACATACCGTATTTGCATTTTCCTGCCCATCCACATGGCAAAAGTCAAATTCAATCGCTAGGAAAGCCATTTTGAACAATAAGCCCTTTATACTACAACAGAGAAAGGATGATTTACAATGTTATGAACCTCAAATGTGTGTAGAAAATTAAGTCTAAAAAAATTTGGAATTATTTATGTCAAGAAATAATTTCCTTTAATAAAAAATAGATTTGTTATTAGACAAAAACCCTCAGGAATTAAAACAAAACCCATGCATTATTGAAATTATTTGAATAATTGAGGTGAAAGTATAATTTCTGCCTGAAATATTCAGATAATTGACTTAAGTTTAAACTTTATCTAATTGATTGAGATCTTTGGGTGGGATGGATTTTTTGAAACCCAATAGACTACAAAATTGAGAACAATAGAAAAGAATGAGGGAAGAGAAAGAAAGGGTGAAAATGGTTTGACATTTGCTGATTGTCAGAATAAGATTATATTTGTCTTTCTAGTGACAATACCAACATCCATCTTCTCACATAGAATTAATTTCTTTTGAAGGCTAAAATATAACCCATATTGCTTTTTGAAATTACAAATTCTTTTTAAGCTTTGTTGTTGTTCTGTGCTATCAAGTAGATTCTGACTCATAAAGACTCTATAAAACAGCTCTGAAGCCTGCTGTATCTTAAGCCAACTTCGTTGACTCTAACACACCTAGACCTGTTAGCCCAGTCACTGAGTTAAGCCATCCAGGGTCTGCCTCTCCTCCGCTGTCCCTCCATCCTTCCAAGCATGAAGTCCCTCTCCAAGGACTCATCCCTCTTTGCAACATACCCAAAGTATGTCAGACAGAGCTTTAAAATCCTTGCCTCCAAGAACAATTTGATTTCATCCGCTCCAGGATGGAACTGTTTGTTCTCTTAGCTGTCCATGGTATTCAATACTCTTTTCCAGCATCACAACTCAAAGACATTGATTCACCTTCTATCATCCTTAGTTATTGTCCAGCTCTCTGAAGCATGTAATTGCGAAGACCATGGCTTGGATCAGGTGCACCTTAGTCTCCAGATTGACACCATTGCTCTTCAGTACTCTGGAGATTTGCCTGACAGCAGATTTTCCCTTTGCAATTTGTCTTCTGATTTCCTGGCTGCTGGTACCAAGAGAACTGATTGTGGAAACAAGCAAGCTGAAACTGTTAACAATCTCAATCTCTTCTCATCTATCATGATGCTGCCAATTGGCCCAGTGGTGAGAATCTTTGTTTTCTTGATGTTGAACTTCAATTCATATTGAAGGCTGAAGTAGTCTTTGACCTTCTGCATCAAATGCCTCAGACCCTCCTCAGTTTGGGCAAATAAGGTTGTGTTAACTGCATAACGCAGGTTGTTGATGAGTCTTCTTCCAATCCTGATGCCACTTTCCTCCTCATAGAGCGCAGCCTGCTGGATGATCTGTTCTGCATACAAACTAAAAACATATGGAGACTGGATGTATCCCCCTAATACACATTTCCTGATTTTGAACCATGCAGTCTTTCCTTACTCTGTTCTGCCTCCTGGTCCAAGTATAGGTTTTGCATGATCATAATCAAGTGTTCTGGGATTCCCATTCTCCTCAAGATTAGCCGTTTTATACAAACTGGGGGAAGGGGAAGGAGAGAGAGTACATCTCCCTAGCATTTTAATCTCTATGGTTTAGTTATAAATTGAGGGGATGGGGGATTGGAAAGAAGTAAAAAGGGAATGTACTGTATTAGGGCCTAGGGAGCTCTGACATAATAAAGATTTGTGTTGTTAACACAGAGGCTGTGCCTCTCTGGCAGAAAAATCCACCAGTAGTTTCTTGGAAAACAGATGGGAAATCTCCTGTGTGATTATGGCCTCCCCAAAAACCTGCTGGAGGTTCACCTATGAGTCAGTGTCAAGTCAATGGCAATGAGAGAAAGACAGAGTATGGGTTTGTAAACAAGCATGAGCACCTGAGGAAGCGGAGTTTAGTTTTTATTACTGAATTAAACCATATCAAAAGGAAAAAGGAGTGGTAAATATTTTAAAAGTACTTACAATTCAGTACTATGGGAAAATCATCTCCCTGCTTTATGACTAAAATCCTGCCTAGGTAGGACATTTAGGGAGTTGTAAAACCACTTTACACTCGCATAGCACTTTGCCCTACATAAAGTGCTTTAATTTAATCCTCAGGCATTATTATTCTTATTTATTGTGGAGAAATTGAGAAATTGAGTTGCCAGAGGAGTTACAGGCAGAAATTAACAAAGCTGGGATTCTAACTCAGGTTTTCTGTCTCAAACCCAATACCCTTCCTGTAGCTATAGGTCGGTTCTTACTTGATACATTACAACAAAGACGTTAGATAATTGTAATAATTCTCAAGAGTTAAGAGTTTATTATGTTTAATGGATTTCTCTGTATTGGTGTTGAGTACAGCCAAGAGGGAACAGCTCCATAGCTGACCCTCCAGCAGATTGTCAGAGATAGTCAATTGTATGGGAGATTACCCAACTTTTTCCTGTGGATGAAGGGGTTTGGCTTACATTTTAACTTCATACAGTAATTAAGTTTGAGAGCCTTTAAATGCTTTAATTATTTCCATCAGCATATAATAAACACATAATCAAATCTCAAAGTATCCATTATTAGCAAAACTAGCAAGCTTCTTATGAAAATTATAGATTTCCCCCATTGATTGCTGCTTGGAGAATGAAAAACTTCAATCTTTTATATAGGCTGATAATTGAGTTCTATGAAAAGCTTCACTTTGGTGAATAACCTGATCTCAAAAGAAATTCACTGTAGTGAATAACAAGCACTCATCAGTAGGTATTTACTGAATGTCCACAAAGTGCCTATGCACTTGAAACAGAAGTGGTGAATAATTTATTTCCATCATCTTCTGGGTTTCTAAGGGGAATCCGAAGATTTGTAGACCTCTTAAGGTGCCGGTCAGTGCGCTGCTTTTTAACTGTCCACACCTGGAAGGAACTGAGTAGTTTGGCTTTCAGCATTTCTAACCCCAGTGCAGGCTTTTGTAGGCGAAGACCCCATTGGAGGGCCAGCAGCAGTCCTGCTGGTGGTCAAAAACAACGCGGGGCTGGGGGATGCAGGGCAGGTTGGTGCAGCCGCGGGCTAGGGCCCGGCCTAGCGCAGCAATGGCGGCCTTGACCCGCCAGCACCGCGCCCCTCCCCCACTCACTCCCACCCCCGCCCCGCACCAGCCTCACACTATCTCCCGGTTGCCCAGCCCCGACTGGCTCTCGCGAGATCAGGGCGGCTGAGCGCTCGGGGCCTTTTCAAATCGGGATCCGTTACCGCTTCCTTGGCCGTCGCCATTGTAGCTCTCGGAGCGCTTTTCAGCTCAGGCCGCGGAGTCGGAGGCGGAGGCAGCAGCGTGGGGATGTCGGACGCCGAAATATGTGAGGTGCTTGGGATCTCTGGAGTCGACAGTCCGCAGCAACTGCCTTCGGAGGCTGTGGGCGAGTCGCGGCGAGAACTACACCCGCCGGAGCCGGAGAAGCAGCAGTCTCACAGCAGCAGCTCCAATGGCGTTAAAATGTATTGTCTTTTTATCCCGGGACACGGGCGAGGTGGGGGCGGGAAGGAGGTCTTAGGAGACCCGGGCCACGGCTAGGCCTCTAGGGAGGGGACCCCGAACCCTCAGGCTTTGGGAGGAGCAGGTACAGCCTGGCAGCGCCCAGGCCTTTCCACTCGACCCAGGCCCGGCTGGCTGCATGCGGCCTGGGGTCGGGACGCCGGGGCGCCGGCCCCCCAACTCCCCAGATCCCAGTCCTGGGCCGCGGGGCACTCCCGCTTCCTTGGTCGCCGCCCGAGAACCTTTGAGCAAAGCCTAGCGGCGTCATGGCTTTGCAAGAGATTGATCCGGCTTTAAAGACCAGTGGTTAGTGTTCATCACTAGGGAGTATCTAGGGATGACATCATCCGACATTTCCTCTCTCTCTGGGCTCATCGTGAGCTTTAGAAATGCAATGTTTTGTTTTCCTAGTTATTTTTACCCCCCTCTCAGTGACTATATACCGAAAGGAAGTTTAATAACGTGCTCCTAGATGGGAATCTGCTTAGTTATCCTTGAGTTGGCTGAAGATGTTTTCAAAAGGGAAATGTCGATCGTGAGTCGCATCCACGTCCCCATCCCCCTTTAATGCTTGTCACTTGTGTAGAGTATTTGGAAAAACTTCGTTTGCTTCTGATTTTGGTATATAAATTAAGTTCAAATAGAAGAGAACCCACTGCTCTTCAAGATTGCCCCGTTCTTTTGTTTTCATTTGGTTCCCCTCCTCCCTCCCACCCTGTTCTTAATGCCTGAGAAGTATTTAGTTGAATCTATAGACTGTTTCTAGTTTTAAGGAAACGTTATGAAATGTACTTCCCTTTGTTTTTGTCATGTGAAGTCAAGCATTCATTTATCTATGCCAAGTCTTTTATTCCTAGGTTGAAAGAACATTAATAATTTAGTAAATGCATCCTTTTCCTTCACTCAGTTATGCTTTGGAGTAGCAGCAGTAAACAGATACTTAGATCCACACTTTGTTTTCCTAATTTAGTTTTAACTTTCCTCTTGTATTGAAATGTTTGGGATAGTCTCAAGTTTAAGGGTAGTTGATTGCCAATGAAGTGTGGTTAGTTCTCAATCTAGTTAAGACACTTGCTCTTCAATTCAAGTGAGATAGGTAGCATTTAGACAGAATAGAGTGCAGGTGGGGTTAAAGCTCAGTAGGGTTTGTTAGACAATGGAAAGTAGTGCCCCTCACAAACTGAAGAGTTGAGAATGAAGTGTTTTCTAAGGTAACTGCCACAGGGCAGGCTTGGTTTCTTAAGTAGGAATGTAAAATGGTGGAAGATATACTTAAAACATGTGCTTGTTGTTCTTTTTAACTTGGGTGTGTTCTTACCTTTTCTCTAGGTAGAATATTAACCGCTTCTAGAAAATCAGACTGCACTTGGATATAATTAGTATGTCAGTACAGGTGAAGCTAGTATCGAAACCTCTGTTAGACCTAAGACTTACTAATCTCTTTAAAAATCCTGTGTGGGGTATGTATGTATGTATCTAGCTCTGTCTAGACAGAAAAAGAGAAAGATAGGCAAAGAACTGTCTTCATTTCTTTTCAAGGAAGAGGAATGTACAAGGTGAAGAAGTGAGAAAAAAATTATGAATAAAAACAAATGCAGATTCTTTCAATATTTGTTTATAATTCGCCTCTCATCCATTTTCTTCAAAGTTGAATAAAGAGATCCATTTACTGTCAGATTTTTTTATACCATCTATCCCCTAGAACATATGTTAGCCCAGTATGATGGTCAATCAAGTGAAATAATTAAGGACATTACTTACTATGCTAAACTTTTTTTGTGTGTGTGATTCAGTAGGAGTTAACACCTAAGTCTTAAGTCGATTACTATGTATTTCTAATGAGGAGAACTTATAGCTGGTGATAAAAAGATGTCCAGATATTAAATATATATTGTCTCTTGCCATCAAGATTGAAAATGGCTTTAATAGTCATAAACATTGAAGAGAGAGACTACGATGTCTTAATTTGTCTTCAGTTCCGTTAAGTAGGTACTGAAGAAATGAAGAAGTAAACTTTTTGGTATTGTAACTTAAGATACAAGGGATTTTTTGATGTGTGTTCTCATTTTTAGATAGAAAATGAAAAATTGGTTTTCTCATGTCCAGGTTTTCCCTTTATGTCAAAACAGTATATATTGACTCTCCTTAAGAATGAATAGGAAGAAAATTTTAAAAAAAACTTTTAATTATTCATGTGGTCAGTAAAGAATATTACGGGATATGATGAGATTGAGAGTGATACTGTATAAATATTATTACATCACTGTTGGTTTCTTCCAGGAACAAAATGGGCAGGAGGAGAGGTGTTCACAAACCTGAATAGAGAGTTAATATTTTCTGTAGTAAGCTAAGCTCATTGTAAAAACTTTTTAAAAAAACATTCAATTTACAAAAAGAAGGATTTGTGTATGTAGCTATTTTCTGTAAGTATAACACTCTGTGTCTTGGCTGCTGCCATTTTCAGAAGTGTCATTCTGATCAAACAGGTAGGTGTAGTGGATAATGAGAAGACCTTATCCAGGTATTTCCAGTTCTGATGATGAAAGTATTTCATTCTTCAGTATCCACAGAGAGTGGATTCCAGGACACGTTTGCGTACCAAACTGTGGATGCTCATCCCTTAAATAAAAGTGTCATATTTGCATATAACAGCAACACATCCTCCGGTATACTTTAAATCATCTCGAGATTACTTATAATACCTAATGCAATGGAAATTCTATGTAAATATTACTTTATACTCCCTGATAATCTTCGAACTTTGAGGGATTGCTTTGAGTCCTTAATTTTCCCCTCAGTATTTTTGATGTGTGGCTCATTGAATCTGCAGATGTGGAATCCTGAGGTTATGGAGGGCTGATTGTATCCTCATCAAGGTTTGAAATCCATTGCAAAGCAAGTTTGACCTTAATATCGCTTCTTTGATTTTAGCAATATTTCTGGCAGGAAGCAGCACCATCTATGGTGAGATGAGAGTAGGTTTTTAATTGACTTTTCCTTCCTTCATTCATTCAAAGTTTATGTTGCTTAACATATGATACGGGCTGTCAACCATGGTAGGTGATGCTGACATCAAAACAGATAAGTTTCAATTTTTTTAAAATACTTTCATGGAACTGTACTTTTGTTAACAAAAGTATTGTTTAGAAAGCTGAGTAAGTTACATAATGAGATTGCAACACAAAAGTCTGTTGAATACTATGGAATGTACAGATCCCAAGAACACTTACTTTAGAAGATACTTTAGAGCCTAGGTTGCTAAATCTAGTTGTATGCTAGTATAATCTAAGAAGTCAAAAAAAATTTTTGTGTTGTGGATATCATAACCATAGAGTTGTATTAGTTTACACTTCTGAAAATTTGCTTTCAAAATGAAATTTTTAGTGACACATTTAAAATTCACTGAGGTAATTAGGGAATTAAACCCACTGCAAGTCTAGTTTTAAAAACATTCCATTTGAAAAGAAAGTGCATTTTTCTTGATAAAGCCAAACTTAGCTATGTTTTTGTTGTGTACCTTTGAGTTGGAACTGAACCATAGCTGACCCTTCTGGTGGGTTTTCAGAGGCAGTAACTCACACAGGGCAGAGATTGCCCATCTTTTACCTGTGGAGCAGCTGGGTAAATTTGCACTGGTTACCTTTGCATTGACAGCGCAATTTTGTTATCATTGAGCCACCAGAGTGAACTTATGTCCTCTAACTTATGAGTAGTTAGTGGATATCATCATTATAATTGCATTGTGATCACAACTTAATAATTTTTCTAGTTAAGACCTCATTAAAAATTATTGTTTGCAGTTAAGTTGGCACTTCCTCATAGCTGACTCTCCAGCGAGTTTTCAGATGCAATAAATCGCAGAGGAGGAGATAGCCCATCCTTCTCTCATGTAGTGTATAGTGGATTTGAACTGTCTGCCTTTGGCATTACAGCACAATTCTTATCACTGGGCTACTATAGCTTAATAAAATTATGATTTGTGTTGCATTTTAATTACTGCTTTCCTCCTCACCAGCTATAGATAGTACTGCTAATAAAAGTGGCAAACTAGTTTAAAAAAATGTTTTTTTTTTCAGGTAACTATAGAACACCTTATGCATTTTTTTTTATTCTTCAGAATTGGAGATAAAATATTTAGAAGCATATGTGTGCATACATGGAACTCTGGCAAATACATTGGTTAAAAGGTCACTAGTTTAAGCCCACTAGCAGTCTGCTTCCACAAAGATTTATAGCCTTAGAAAATTTGGGCAGTTCTGCTCTGTCCTATAGAGTGGGAGTTGTTACCAACCTGAAAGCAAAGAGATGTACATGTATGTATATGTGTATTTAGAACTTAAAAATGCAGATATGATAGAACCTTTATATTTTTAAGTGGGGAAGAGGAAAGAACTTAAGTTCTAGAAAGAACCTGTTAATCTTTTTAAGACATGAAAGAGTATCTTTTTATTAGATTTTTGAGAGTTCTGAATGAGGTCCAGAAAGCTAATTCTTCATTAAACTTGAAGTTCTAAGTCTTTAGGAATAAAATAACTTGCCACCCTCTTCCCTTTGTTAGAGTCTAATAATACTTCCTAAAAAGTATGATGGAAAAAACTGGGTGATTGAATTTTGTAACTACTTGTAACATAGAAAAAATATTAATATTGTTAAAGGTGAAGTTTGGTAATATGCCCAGATCTTCACTTTGAAAAGGCCTTGAGGGATGTTAAAAACAGGAAGCTAACTCTGTAGCTGTTTTGCTGAATCTGTACTGTTTGATAGGATGGTAGTTCAATTTCATCCAGAGATATGTTGGTATACAGTCTTAGGCATTTACTTCTGAAAAGTCACAGCCAAAAAATCCTAAAGGACAGATCAGCGCTAAACACTTGGGTGCCTGTGAGTTTGAATCTACTTGTCAACAACTGACAGCAGCAAACCATAGTGGAGTGTTTTGTTATGTGAAACCTTTATTTTATATTGCCTACCAATCTTTGAAGCACAACTGAATTTTTCCATTTTTTGAATTTGTAGGGAGAATGAAGAATCAGGAAAAGATGAGAAATCTGATTTAAAAGAAAAGTCTTCAGGAAATAAGAAGGCAAATCGATTTCATCCTTATTCAAAAGACAAGAATTCAGGCACTGGAGAAAAAAAGGGCCCAAATCGTAACAGAGTTTTCATTAGCAACATCCCCTATGACATGAAATGGCAAGCTATTAAAGATCTAATGAGAGAAAAAGGTAACTGTCTCTGAAATAACCCACTGTTGGGCATCTTCATGTAGAAGGAGTAGGAAACTGAATAGACTTTTTTAATTCTTCTGAGCTATTCAGATTCAAAAGTATTTTATTTCTCAACACCTGAATTAATCTTTTCCTCTTCTTTCACTCAACACAATTCCATTACAAGGTAGTATGGATAAATGATCTATTTTTCTTTTTGCCATTTTAGTGGTATAGTAGTGAGCCAGTATATGCATGCCACCAAGAATTTTGATAAAGAGATTGCTTTGTCTTGTTGACGTTTTTATAGATTTTTAAAGGATTATTGCATTAGTTAAGCAATACATTTAGCGTGTTAAAGTATGATTAATAAGGTCTGATTTTTATTTTTTTTTTCCCAAAAGCTGTTTTGTTCTTACCTTGGTGGAGTCTGGAATCTGGCTGTGGAATTCCTTTTGTTTGCATTGTCATGACTGCCACGATGCTGTCTGTATTTGCAGTTCTATATTAAACTTGCTTTACTGCTGTTGCAGTTTTGTTTTCAGAATAACCTGAAAACCTTCATCTTTTACTTCTATTATAAATATATATATATATGGTTGGTTTTGGGGAAAAATAACTTTAATACTTGATCTTGTAAAAGTTAGTTTTGTTATCTCTTGAAAAATTGAGTTTCAACATCCCTGAAAACTATGCACTTGGCTTTGAGGCTGTTCTCAATAAATAAAAATATTTGCTTTGGTGTATCTGTTGTAAGGTGACAACTATTTGATTGGTTTTATTCACTGACTTTATTTAGAAAGTGTGTGGCTTGCTGTGAAGCATGACTTGTAAATTTAGTTTACTGATGGCAAACATGATTGAAGACATTCAGGTAGAAAGTCACCTTAAAACAGCTGTTGTGTGTAGGCTGACCAAAGTTATTTGAAAAGTGCTAATGTTGATGATTTTAATATGATAGGCTAAGGGACCATTTGTATGTATATGTGTTATTTGTTCACCAACTATATCATGCTGGCCAAAATATGATCTGTAGTATGATTTAGGTTAATATAGTTGTTAGCTTTTTTAGAGAATGTGGATGATGTATATTTCTGAAAATTAGTTAAATTTACATAGCCATTGATAGGAGGTATGTTGGTCTGGTTTTGATTGTTGGTGAATAATAGGTGCTTTTCTGTAGAGTTGTGCACAGGTGTGCAGTAAAGCAAGATACTGGTGTTTAAATGTATTGTTTCTTGGTATTTTCCTTTTGTATGTCTTATGTAGTTGGTGAGGTTACATACGTGGAGCTCTTTAAGGATGCGGAAGGAAAATCAAGGGTAAGTGCTGTGGGCAATAATCTGCTAGAGGTTTAAAAGTTCCTCAGCAGTTTACTTTCGTATAATACTTGTACCAGTTTTTGGAAACTTAAGTTTCATTTTGTTTTACTTTATTATGCAAGATTGAGGCTTTATATTAGCAAGTCTGACACTTATGCAAACCAAACTAGCTGCCTGGAAGGGGATGGGTTTTATAAATGCCCATAAAGGGCATTCCACTTTTCTAATGCTCTAAGGTAATGCTGCTTAGCCGTTAGATTTTAACATAAGATATTTTTTTGTTGTATTTTCATGTCTTTAAGGATATTTTACAGTCATTGAATTTCTAATATTCCCAAAGATTAAGTTCTGTAAGAGGCATATATCATAAAGGTGTTAATTCAGAGTATATACTTTAAAATATTCCTGAACAGTTTGATTTGGAAACCTGCAGGATTACATAAGAGGCAGTGTTCTAACCAATTGATAGGCATGATAATGATGACTGAATCAACAGGGTAGGAATTGACAGCAGATTTTGATTTTGGCAACTAGAAAATACAAAGATGTTTAGTTGGATGCATTCAAATGGCACTTTAAGTAGCAGTAATCATAAGGAATTACTTTTAAAATGATTCTACAAATTTATTTCTTAGCAGAAGTGATTTTCTTTATATACGTTTACCATTGGTTGCTGCTGTGTACAGCCAGTGTTCTGTTAAAGAGGACTTTATGTTAAAAATGAGATTAATATTTATTTCCTGTTTTGATTTTACTAGAATAGATGACTAGACATGGAAAACTATTTATACAGAATACACCTTACAGATTGGCGCTTTTGATGGATTTCTTTAAATTGAATTTGTTCAGTGACATTACTTTGATATTGACACAAACAAAAGTCATCTAAAAGCTGGAACATGCTCTAAGATTGTTGATGCTTGGATCTGAAATGAATTAATTTTTCTCAACTTTATAGAAAATTTATGACCACTTGCCTGTTATGTTCTGGAGGTGTAAAACATTAAAAATTATTTTCTTGTTGATTGTCTTTTAATGACTTGAATGTTTGAGATTGTCTTTTAATGACTTGAATGTTTGACTCTACATTATTAACTTCACCGACTGATCTTGAACTTTTTTTCTTTTGCATATATTGACAAATCTACCTGGATATAGGGTTGTGGGTAAGAATTTTTTTTAAAAGTACTACACTCAAAATTAAACTTCTAATTGTGGGAAAATAATCTTAGTAATTTAACATTTTCTGTCAATTCTTTCCCCATAAAGTGTGGTTGAATTCAAAGATGAAGAATTTGTAAAGAAAGCACTAGAAATTATGAACAAATATGATCTTAGTGGAAGACCTTTGAATATTAAGGAGGTAAGAACTTGGATATCGAGACATGTTTCCTTTTGCCTTCCAGTCTTAGTAATATAGTTATATATTTAAAATAGCTTTTTGTTTGCCCTTAGCTAGTTGTATATTTTACTTCAACTTACTAGCTGCAGATAAAGGGAATTTTTTAAACCTCAGGATCCAGAAATTTAAATACCTAATATCTAGGTCTTTATATTTTATGTGCTGATATTATTTAATAGGCATTTATATTTAGATTGTGACCATTAAGAAATAACAGTATTCTTATTGTAATTAAACGTTGCATCTTTATTTGATAATATATTATTAAGATTTGAAAGAAATTAATAATTACATTTAATAAAATGAGCTGCCAAATTAAAATTTATAAGTTAACAAAATTTGAAGTTGAAAATTGGAAACTCCTCTAATGTTCTTGTATACAAACTTATAGCAGTGTAAGTACATTAATTAGAAGTAGCATAAGATATGTAAAATGTATTCCTAGTTAAATATAATTTATTCAGGATAATCTACCTTTGATAGCAGTCATTTTCATTGGCTCTTTTATACTGTTAAGTTTCTGTGATATTTTGATCATGGACCATTTCTGCACATATTCTTGCTAAAATCTATTAAATAAAAGACTTGAAGACTCCATCAGCACTGTTAGTGATCTTTAATTATGCAAATATACTGTCCGTCTTGGCATTTAACTTCATATTCTAGTGATTTGAATTCCAACTTCTTCCTTGTAACTGTGTAATTAGGTAGATGACCTAATATCTCTAAGTCTCAATACTAGTACTACTGGCAGTACCAACCTAATGTGATTTTTATAAGGATAAATTAAGATACTTGCTGAAGAATTCATGTTATGGCACCAAAAACCTTTGTGACCTGGACAAGTTACTTAACCCCTGTTTCTTTATTTACTTTTCAGTAAAATGGAAGTTATTATAAAACCTACCTGGTAGAGTAATAAAGACTCAGAGTTAATATATATTAAAAAAAAAAGAATATTAGCTATTATAATTATAGTATTTGAGAAAGCAATGCTTTGCTCAAAATATTGCATTTTTTTGTATATATATATATATATGTGTGTGTGTGTGTATATATGTGTGTGTGTATATATGTGTGTGTGTATATATATGTGTGTGTGTATATATATATAAACCAATAGGTGAGAGGTCTCTCTGGTGACCTATTGTTAGGAGCTACCAAACTGAAGGCACACAATTCAAATCCATCAGTCACCTTCTGTGTGAGAAAGATGGGTAATCTCCTCTTTTGGAATTAACTGCCTTTGAAAATACACTAGAGGGTGAGTTATGGTTAGATTCCGACTTGATACATAACAGCCACAACAAGAAGTGTAGTGATTATTTTTCCACTGGATATAGTAATAGTTTTAATTTTTGTTCCTGAGTATAAATAAAGTGATGCTATTAAAGATTAAAGGCCATATTGCTAACGAATAAAAGTGTCCCAAATTCCTGTGTTAGAATTAGTTCCAAAATTTACATAACGTTTTCTGAACCTGTGGATTTATATAGAATTTATTTCTTTTGTTCAAATTTTTTTACAGGGAAATAGAAAGTTTTTAAAATTTAGATTGATATAATCCCATTTACGGGATGCTGCTTCTGTGTAGACCGGCTCAATATTTTAGCAATGTTTTGGTATTCACATAATTACTTTTAGGCTAGTGTTTATAGAACAGTCACCCTTACAGGTGATTACTATTATGAGACTTATAATTTGCTATTTAATCTTAACTCCTGTTCCTTTTTCAAAGGGTAAGTCTATACTGATTTTCAGTGTCTTTTTTTTTTTTTAATGGATGATAAAATCCAACTCCATTTTTATATGCTTTTAAGTTTTACTACAGTGTGGCTCTACCATAATAATAATACATTATTCAGATGCTGTTTGAAAGGTTGGTGGTTCAAATGCACCAACAGCTCCATGGGGGGAAAAATACCTTGTGGCTTGCTTTTATTAAAAGTATAGCCTAAGAAACAGTGGAGCAGTTCTCTTCTGTCCTGTCCAGTAGTGTTGCTCTGAGTAAGAATTGACTCAGTGACATATGGGTTATGGAATGCATAGCATTCCTATAGAAGTTGATGCCTCCATTTTTACCATTGTCTTTGGGAAAACACTAGAAACAGTGTTTCTGTTTGTCCTAGTTCATGGATGTGTCATTCTTCATTCAGCTAACATTTTTTACTTAACTTCATTAAAGACAGTCTTTCTCCGAGGAATAACTGATTTTTGTATGGACAGTTGGGATCAACATTTGACTACAGTGAGGGATAGCCTAAAGAAGAGTGTATTGTCAGTGTTTCTTAAGAAATCTTAAATAATGTTTTTTAATTAAGTGGAAGCTAGTAACCCTTATAAAACCTCTACTAGCAGTGACTGAGTTCTGTTGGTCTAGTGGTAAGAAGTTGTGCTTTAATTCCAAAGGCACATAGTTTGAATCCACCAGCTGCTCTGTGAGAAGTATGGACAGTCTCCTCCCTTGCACTTGATTACCTTTGAAAACCAGGAGGGCCAGCAATGGGTTGGTTTCAACTCAACAGCAAATAACTAGCGCTGTGGAAGGTTGCTGTTAGTCAAAACTGACTGGACAATAGTGAGTTTGGTTTTAGTTTTACTAGTAATATCAAGGGATCCCTGGTGACAATATGATTAGAGTGTTTGACTGCTAACCAATAAGGCAGACATTTACACCCGTCAATCTTTCTGAGATAGCAGTATTTACAGCCTTGGAAATTCAGATAGTTCTACTCCGTTCTTTAGGGTCACTATATATTGATACAGATTTGATGGTGATGGGTACTAGCAATAGCAGGCAGTGACTGACAAGATGACAGTAAAGAAGAAAAGAATAGATAATCTATATTTATTTTGTATGTATTTTATATAATATACATATTGTTGTTGATTGCCTTCAAATTGAGCATAACTCATAGCAATCCTATGAACAAAAGGCCTGAAACCCCTCTACAATTAGTGACATTTATCAAAGTTTCTAGAGTTTCCAGAGGCATGTTAATATACATAGTATATAAAGAGAAATAAACAATGCAGTATGTTTAATACAATTAGTACTTCTCAATGGTAAGGATAAACAGTCCCAATTAATCTAATTTAAGGTGCACTTTCCTGTTTTTGCTTTTTTTTCCTATTGCAGCTTACATTTTGTATTTTTAGATGTTTTTAAAGCTTTTATTACTAACCTGAATGTTTCAACAGTCCCTTTTCCTGTATTTCTTTATGGTAAAGAAATACATACATTGGCAGCCAGGATACCTCCTGTTTCCTCAGCTCTTAGAGAATTAAAGTCATCCAGCTTTTTTTTGTTGTTGTTAGGATTACCAGCCTGAAACAAGCAGAATAGAGTACAATTGATGATAGTTATCATTTGATATTCGGATGATGTGCTTACGTGCTTTTATTTCTTTTTGGGGAGTTTTGTTTTTGTTTTTTGGATTTCATTTAGTGTGATCTGAGTACATTAAAAATAAGTTTTTAAATTTTTCTTTTGCTTAAAGGATAGTTTTCTTACAAATAACTTTTTAAAAAATGTTTTGCCTTCACTTAAAACTTATTCAAGGCTAAAGAGCTGATTATGACTTTTGCAGTGCTCTATTAAAAGAGTAGAACCTCCCATTGGGTTTCCGAATCTATCTTAATAGGAGTAGACTTCATCTTTTTTCTTACTGAATGGCTTGTGAGTTTGAACTGTCAGCATTTTGGTTAGCAATGCAGCATTAGCCCACTACACTACCAAGACTCCTTACTTTAATACTTCATCCCCTGCTGTTTTTTTCTCTCGCCTCAGATCATGATCATTATTGAGGAAGGAAAGAGAAGGTGGATAATTACATTCGTTCGGGAATGAAATTCATGAATTGGGAATAGAATAGTTCTTTCTTTATCTCAATACCCACTGTTGAAAAGCCTTGAATTAGTTCAAGTTTAGCATTTTATTCGAGGCATCCAGTGGTGAGAATTCACCATTACTTTGTTTTAAAAAGGAAAAAAAAGAATTTTTCTCCTCTTTAAGTTCTGTGTATGTACAATGCCATATGCTTTTATATTAGTGTGAGGGCAAGCATAAACTGCAAATTTAAGTTACTGTAGTGGTTGGAAAATAGTACTAAACTGACAATTCTGGAGACTGAAATATTTTTATCTATCCATAGGTTTTTATGACAGTTTCTTAAATGAGGGTGGGTAAAGGTCAGTCTTCAAAGGGTTAATAATTTGGGCTAGATGGGATAGCTAACTGTTGAATATGAAATTATTAATTATATATAGATTTGCTGCATTTAAATTTATTATATAGATTTACTTGTAATTTTAATGATACAAATTTACTGATGCATCTAGTAGCATTTAACATTCAATGTATATTATAGGATCCCGATGGAGAAAATGCCCGTAGGGCACTGCAACGAACAGGAGGATCATCGTTTACAGGAGGACATGTTTCTGATATGGGATCAGGGTTGGTGAATTTACCACCATCCATTCTCAATAATCCAAACATTCCTCCTGAAGTTATCAGCAATTTACAGGCCGGTAGACTTGGTTCCACAATTTTTGTTGCTAATGTAAGTTAAGCTTTAATCTAAAAATTTTACCATTTTGCTGTTCAGTGCTAATCATTAGTTGATTTGGTGAACGGTTTATAGGACATTTTGCTCGTTTTTAACTGAAGCAAGTGGAAATAGTGATGGTTGTAACTCAAAATTAAATTTCTGTTTTAGAGTGCAGATAACCATTAAAGTTTTTAGTAAGACTGGAATTTATTATTTATTGTTCTTAAAAGTATTCTTATTTTTAAATATGTTATATTCTAATAAATAATACTAAATTATAATTTTTATTAATTTTGGTAAATGGATGTTCTTAGGTTTGAAGATTGTAAATGTGCTTGTTAAACATTGTTTTAAACCTTTTAGATGTCAAGTTTGAGTTTCTCAGTAAAAGTAGATGTCCAGGTTTTAAATTACTAAAATAGAATTGAACAGTTGAGAGACTGTTTTGGTAATAAAAGAAAAACATGAATAAAGGATCAACATAGATGTAGTATAACAGATATTTAACAACTTAAAAATGTTTTATTTGAGTATTGTTAGTGTGTTGTATGATAAAAATTAGAAAATTAGAGGTTTTTATACTTTGGAGAATTGGGAAAAGATGTTTTTGAATTTTTTATGAATGTAGAAGAGGGATTTATTAGGTATATAACTAGAAAATTTTATGTTAAGCTTGACTTTAAAGTTGGTTGGAAGAAGCTAAAGGAAGTATTCAGCATAGCTGGAACCGTAAAGCGGGCAGACATTAAAGAAGATAAAGATGGCAAGAGCAGAGGAATGGGCACAGTCACTTTTGAACAAGCAATTGAAGCAGTTCAAGCAATTTGTATCCTTATTGATATTTTAGTATTATTCAATGATATTGAAGAAACTTAATACCACTTTGTGGGAGTTTATGGAATTTAAGATTACCTGGCTTAGACTTAAGCATTTAAAATCTTTACCGTGTTTAAGTACTAAAATGGTTTTAAAGTATATTAGACTTTATTTACTGTGTTCAAGTATTAAAGTTGTTCTTAAAACTTGTAGTAGCTAAATTGTAAAGACTTGGTAAGAACTTCCCCCCCCTTCATATTCCCTGTCTACCTCAGCTAATTAATTGTATATATGCTTTTGATAGATACATACTTCTTAAAGCATTCATGCTTTAAATGAAGCAGTGTTGACTTTATTGTACCATATTTGGATTAAAATATTTCATTTATAGAATTGAAAAGCAAAGAATTGAAGATTTTCTTTTGAGTAAACTCAAGAGACTAAATTAGAAAATAAAATCTTACATGTTTAAGATAATACATTCTAACTAAACAAAATGATAAAAATACTTATTTTCAAGTGTAATTTTGTAGTCACTTTAACTGACTTTCCTTGACTAAACTACAGCTATGTTCAATGGACAATTTCTATTTGATAGACCAATGCACGTGAAAATGGTGAGTCCCTGAACATGGCTTCAGTTCTCTCTTCTGTTCCTGCATTACTGTTTATTGAGGAAGAGGGCTATAAATTAACCACTTAATTAACTTTTTTTTGCAATTAGGATGATAAATCTGTTCCACATGAAGACTACCGCTCACATGATAGTAAGACACCACAATTACCACGTAAGTAAAAGTTACTATTAGGAACTACATAGATTGTCCTTTTTAGCATAATTCTATATGTTGAAGCAGGAGTGGCATCCACTTCCTAAATAACATGTCTTCGGAAACTTCTGTGAACTTTGATAAATGTTGATGTTGATAGCTTCAAGCATTTTGTTCATAGGGGTGCTATTGAGTCATGCTCGACTTGAAGGCAATCAACAACATAGGCTGAGCATATTGTTCCTGCTTCTCAAGATACCCCAAGATAGTATGAGCCTAGTTTGACATGTTTGATTAGTAAGGCCAAGAAAATAAATGTTATATATAGTTTTTTCCCTTTTTGATAGCTTGTCCTTAATATAAAAGCAATACATATAATTTCCTTATAATTTTTCCATTTATAGATAAACCACCATTGTAACATGTTTTGGCTTTTTTCCTTGTCTTTCCGTCCAAGAAGATTTACGTTATTTAGTTGTAAACCATCACATAATTGCTTAACAGTTTCACTATTAATGTATATTCAGGTGGTTTAACTTTTTTCCCTTTTAGTAGAGTAATTCATGTCTTTTTATATAAAACACTTGGTATTTTTCTTCTGAGGTGCCATTATCTGAATTTTAATTGCTAAACTTACTTTTAAAATTTTACATTGGTTTGCATGTAATCACTCATGCACATTGTGCTTTGTATATGTAGTTTGTGTTTTGTACAATTATCTTTAATTTATATACCTGTGTTTTATATAATCATTAATATGCATTTATATTTTATATAATTAATTACCATTCTGAAAATTATCCAAAAATGATTGGGAAAGTCTGCTGTTAAAAGCTTGTCTTCAAAGTACTGAAGAGCAACGATGTCAGTCTGGAGACTAAGGTGTGCCTGAACTAGGCCATGGTCTTTGCAATTATTTGCTATGCATCAGAAAGCTGGGCAGTGACTAGGGGTGATAGGAGAGTTGATGCCTTTGAGCTTTGGTGCTGGAGAAGAGTATTGAATACATCATGGACTGCTAGGAGAACAAACAGGTTCATCCTTTTGCTTATGGCTTTAAATCTTTCATGATTTATAGCTTCTTCAGTACTAGTTCTTGGAACTCTGTGAACTCAGCATTTTTTTTCCTGCTTTTCTTTCTCAAAGGGTTTTTATTATGTACTCTGGTCTGCTTTCTTAGGAGAAGCTGGTTTTGGTTTTTTGTGCTGTTTGTACTGTGTGCTGCTTCCTTGACATTATGAGAAATTTGTGGGAGTTGATGTTTTCCTGACAAAGCCAGTGAGGGGAGCTGGGAACCTCCCAAGAATCTTGCCCAGCATCCTTCCCTCCCCAAGAAAGGGTGGTTGCAGCTCCATAGGGGCCTCTTTTAGTGTACCTGCATCTTTTCCTGAGGCTATGTTAGGAGGGGCTGTTGCCACTGTTACTAGCAGGGTTTCTTTTGGAGAGGGGGCACCTCCTAGAAATGCAGTCCCTGGGAATAGTGTCCAGGACCCTTCCCTCTTGTGTCTGGGTGGTCTGTTGTGGCTTGCATTTGTCTTCTCCCACAGCTGGGTGGGATGGGGACCTGCTAGACTTTTGGCTAGTGCTTAACCACTTAAGTATTTGAAAATAGATATTCTCAAGTAGATTCAAGTACTTTTGTTTTTTCTGCTAATCCAAAGGCCTGCCCCTTTTGCAGTTCAAATCCACCAGCAGTTTGGAGAGATAAGCAGTTACCTCCTGTGTGGTCTGTAGTCTCAAACTGAATTGAAGGCCAACTATGATTAAATGTGAGAGAAGTAGATTTCCAGGTTAAGCTATGCTTACAGCAGCCATGGTGAAGATGGCATTAGGAGCAAGCAGTGCTTTTTTTTCTGTTGTGTATAGGATCTGCTTGATTCCACCTAACAACATAACATCAAACAGCTGATCCCATTTACTAATATTACCAAATGTGTTCCGGAGAATTATTCAATAGCAGTGTAATATATTTGACAATGCTTTTTCTGCTTTGTGGAGATAATGATGGTGTGTCTTTCTGATGAATTTCCTGTTTAACTTGATTTCTCTAGTAATTATTTATGTTCTTAATAACTCTTAAATTTTCTCTGACAAAATGTACAAAGTGCAAGCATTGGAAAGACAAAAGGGAAGAACATGCTTGGCATTTCTCAAACTGAAAGAATGGAAGTACAAATTAAGCCTTGAGTTTTGATACTGAAGGATTCTGTGAACAAAATCTTGATTGATGTAGGAAGCATTAAAAAAAGATAAAAGAAATAGTTACTGTGTGAAAAAGAATTGACACTGAACTATTTCGTAAGGAAGAAATTCAAGCTGCACTGAAGACACAGGCAAGAAGGAAGGCCCCCAGAGTTGATGGTATACCAGTTAAAATGTTTCAGGAAACAGCAGCCCTAGATATGCTCCCCTGTCTGAGCCATGGAATTAAGAGATACAGCTACCTGACCAATTAGAAGAAATCTGTGTTCCTAATCCAAGAAAGGGTGATCCAACAGTGTGGAAATTATCACAAATGTCATTATATGCAAGTAAAAGCTTGCTGAACATTATTCAGAAACAGTTGGAACAGTACATTGACAGGGAACTTGACAGAGAAATTCAAGCTGGATTCAGGAGACCTTTGAATGAAGGATATCATTGTTGATGTCACATTGATTTCATTGATTATGCAAAGGCTTTTAACAATGTAGATCATAACAAATTATGGCTACTATTGAGAAGAATGAGAATCTAAGAATACTTGTGTCCATGTAAAACCTATACATAGACCAAAAAGTAGTTGTCCTAACAGAACAAGGAAACGCTGCATGGTTTGAAATCAGAAAAGGTGTAGATCGTATCTTTTCTCCATACTTACTCAGTCTGTTGAACAGATCATTCAAGAAGGTTGACTTGATGAAGAGGAATGTAGCATCAAAATTAGAGGAAGATTCATCAGAAACCTGTGTACCCTGATAACATAACCTTGCTTGCTGAAAGTGAAGAAGACTTGAAGCACTTAACTGCAGAAGATCAAAGTGTTCCAATATGGGTCACATCCCAACTTTAAAAAGACAAAAATCCTCACCACTGAATATTATGGAGAAAAGATTAACGTTGTCAACAGTTTAATTTTACTTGCATCCATGTTCAACATCCATCTCAAGCAGCAATCCAGAAATCAGAAGATGTGCTGCATTGGTAATTCTGTCAAGGACGTCTTTAAAGTGCTAAAAGAGAAACAGTGTTGGTTTAAAGACTTAGTTGCATCTGATACAAGCCATGATATTTTAAGGAGCTTAATATGCATTTGAAAGTTGGACAATGAGTAAAGATTTTAAAAAGCAATGATGCCTTTGATTTATAATGTCAGAGAGGAGTATTAAATATCTCATGTACTGCCAAAGGAACAAATAAATCAATCCTAAAGAAAGTGTAGCCCAAATGCTTCTTAGAGGCAAGGATGGTGAAACTTGGTCGTACACCTTTTGGGCATTTTGTTAGAAGGGGCCACTCCTTAGAAACAGACATCATACTGGGAAAGGTAAAAGGTCTGTTAAAGAGAAGACCCTCAATGAGATGGATTCAGAGTGACCATACAATGGTCTTGAGTATGGTAGCGATAATAGTGCAGAATAGGGTGTGCTTCAGATCTGTTCGTAGGGTTGCTATGAGTTATTGTTGACTGCACTTAATAACAATAATATACTTGAAATGCTAGTACACTTTTAATTATTATCATCCTATTTGACACTTATTTTGTTTAAGATGTCTTTAATTAGTCCTTTGCTTTTGGAGTTTTGATTTCTTTGTCCCTTTTATACTTTCTTTACATTTAAAATTGAAACTTTTCATCATTGTTTCTGTTACGTGCTGTCGAGTCAAAATTGACTCATAACGACCCTTTGAATAGCTGACCTGAACCCTACCCTGTCCTGTGGCATACTTGTCATCTCGGATACACTGGAGCCCATTGTTGAAATCACTTGTCTTCCTATCCTTCACTGACCCTCTATCTTTATAAGCATGGTTTCTCTTTCTAAGGAGTAGTGTTGCCTAGCTACATATCCTGAGTGTGAAAGATGCAGCTTTGCCATTTTTTCCTCCCAAGTAGCAGTCTGACTACACTATTCCAAAACATAACCTGGTTGTTCTTATGGCAGTCCATCAGAGTACTCTTTTTTTTCTCAGCACCTCAGCTCAAAGGCATCACTTCTTCTGTCATCCTTATTCATTGTCCAGCTTCTGATGGATAGCAGGTAATTGAGAAGACCATGCTCTGAGTAAGGTATGCTTTAGTCTTCATACTCTCATCATTGCTCTTCAGCATTTTGGAGAGGTCCCAGCAGACTTGTCCAATGCAATACATCTCTTGATTACCTAACTGCTGATTGTTGATCCAAGCATGATGAAATCACTGACTGCTTCAATTCTCTTTATTATAATTTTGATTGTTGAGCCTCTTATGAGGACCTTTGTTTTCTTGATGTTGAGATGTAATCCATACTGAAATGTGTAGCGTGTGTTTCATATCCTCACTTCCAGCAAAGTTGTGTCATCTCTATATAACATCAGTTGTTAGTGTTCCTCCAGTCCTCGTGCCATATTCTTCTTATGGTCCAGCTTCACAAATTATTTGCTCAGTATATAGATTGACTAGTCTATATAGTATAGTATAGTATAGTATAGTATAGTATAGTATGGGGAAAAGATTCAACCCAGGCACACCATTCCTGAATTTAAACCATGCAGTGGTCTCTTGATTGGTTTGGGCAAGAATTTCTTGGGCCTAGGTATAGATTTCATATGAGCATGATTAAGAGTTCTGGGATTCCCATTCTTTGTGTTCTGGGATTTCCCATTAACAGACTAGCCATAATTTGTTAGGATTCACTTAGTCAAATGCCTTTGCAGAGACAATAAAACAAATAGACATTTTTCTGTTGTTCTTTGCTTTCAACCAGGATCCTCTGACATTAGCAGTGATACATCTCTGGTGTTGCAGCCTCTTCTAAATTCAGCTTGAACTTTTAGTA